ATAAAGATCTAAAGTTGTACTATGCTACTACTTTTATTTTTCATACTACTAGCATATAACCTGTGCCTCCGTCACGGGAATTGAACCTAGCTGCCGCACCAAAATTTTACGGAATTCCTCAATTTTGATTGGCTAACGGTTGTGATCTACAAAATTTTGGTCCGCATTACATAATTGTTTATATAATTTTTGGCCGGAATTAACTTTTTAATTTTTAACTTTTTTATTCCCAAAATAGAAATTTTTAGAGAAATAGGCCTGTACAATGATAAAATTAGCTCAGGAATATTTTTCATTTAATGTGTAGCTGTGGTTTCATTAGTAAAATTTTGAGTAATTTTGGCCTAAATTATTGATTGTCACTCTTTGTCAATCAAAATCAAGGAATTCCATGAAATTTTGGTGCGGCAGCTAGGTTCTATATCATGGGAGTTGGTACAATATTTAAGGTATATAGTTATTATTTTATATTGAAATTTGGTACATATACGTAGTGTGAATATGCCATTATGTTATATGTCATTTGATATTTTAATATTTGTAATTTTAGTCAAAGTTTTATAAATTTTTTTGTAGTTATAATATAGAAAGTATATATATAGTTTATAAAAGGTTTTATTTAAATTGTATATATATATATATTTGAAAAGAGGTATGAATTGAAGTTAGATAATATAATATTTAGTTTGATGGATATAAAAATAAGAAATATAATAAAAGAGAATATAATATTGATAAGTATATATATTTTCTTTTAATATTGTTAATGTTGAATTTTTGATTAGATTGAGAGGTGGGTTAAGTTTTTAATTTTTGTTGGTATTAGCGAGTTTAGTACTTGTTGTTTTGATTATTTCATCAGATCTTTTACATTTTAATGAATGTATGTTATTTTTAGGATTTGTATTATTTACGACTGAACTATTTTGAGTTATATTATTTTCAGATAGATTATTTTGAGTTGTATTATTTTCAGAGAGTATATCATTTTCATATAGGTTATTTGAAGTTATATTTTCAGGATTGTTTAAAGTTGGTAGAGAAGAGTGGGTTTGGGATAGTTTTGAAGTTTTAGCCATATTTTGATAGACGCTTAGAAGTTTAGATCGTGTCGGGCTTGAAGATAGTTTGATATTGTCGATATTGGGTTCTTTTTTTCTAGTAATAAAGTTAGTATTAACGAAATTGATATCATTAGCATAAATATAAAATTCATTATCTATGATTTCCATCTGTCCAATTACAAAAATAGTTGATTCTTGTGAATGAATTGTGGTCTTGAAATGTTTGAATCGTGGGTTATCATATGGAAAGGCTACTTTGATTGTATAATTGTAAGGTTGGCCAATATAGTCAGATACAAATATTTCAATAATGGAATTTTCAGTATATTCAATTTTGGCTGGCATTTCTTGTAGAATTCCTATTAGTACGATTTTTAAGAGGCATTTGTTTGAGCTTGGAATTTCTTTGTCAGATATTATTACATGAGTTGATGTAGAAATTGTCATCTAAGTATTAGGTTATTAATAAGTTAATTTTGTGTTGTAAATTGAGATATGAGGGCAATGTTGTAATTTGTTATAATTACAATAAATTATGGCATTTTTTTTTGTAATCCATTATATTCATGACGAATTATGGCATTGCGTTTATTTGTTAACCATTTGAATAATAATTGTATATAACTAAGGTAGCTATAATTAGTTTTATATAATGATAGTGGT